TATAGTTTGAAATTAGGTAATGTGATGCCTTCACATTTGTTCTTTGCTCAGTCTTGCTTTGGCTGTGAGGGCTCTTTTTTGCTTCCATATGAATTTTAGGATTTTTTTCCAGTTCTGTGAAGAATGATGGTGGTATTTTGATGGGAATTGCGTTGAATTTATAGATTGCTTTTGTCTATATGGTCATTTTCACAATATTAATTCTATCTATCCATGAGTATGGGATGTGTTTCCATTTGTTTGTGTCATCTATGGTTTCTTTCCTCAGTGTTTTGTAGTTTTCCTTGTAGAGGTCTTTCACCTCCTAGGTTAGGTATATTCCTGAGTATTTTCTTTTGTAACTATTGTAAAAGGGGTTAAGTTCTTGATTTGATTTTCAGCTTGGTTGGTGTTGGTGTATAGAAGAGCTACTGATTTGTGTACATTAGCAATTAAGTATTTTTAAATTAAGGTATGTATATTGCTTTTTAGACATAATGCTGTTGCACACTTAATAGACTACAAGATAGTGTCAACATAGCTTTTATATGTACCTGGAAACAAAAAAAAATTATATGACTTGCTGATTTCACTTTATTGTGGTGGTCTGGAACCATTCTGCAGTATCTCCAAGGTATGCTTGTACTAAAAAAGGAGCCAGCTGACCTTAAAGATGAACCTTAATTCTATTTGTTGCATCTGTAAAATGTGGGGGAAGGTCCAACCTACCTTCTGATTCTAATATATTACAAACATTTTAGACAATTGCTGCTTTCTGATCATCTACTTAACAGAGAAGCCAAAGGAAAAGGAAAAAGTGATAAAATCACTGCTACTGGAGATAAAGGAAAACAAATTAAATATAACATCACTAATGTGGGTACACAACTGGTAGTTAACCACTTACTATGCCATAGTAAGGAAAGATAATTTTCATAGAAAAAATTCCAGTGCTGATAATTTTCTGGGAAAACATTTATTGTTTCTTCTCCTCCTTCCCTTCCTCCTCCACCTCCTTTTTCTTCTTTTTTTCTGGCAATAATTTCCAATCTACTATGGCTATAGCAGCCTATACACTCTAGTATTTTTTTAGTTTTTTTTTTTTTTGAGACAAGGTCATACTCTGTTGCCCGAGATGGAGTGCAGTGGTGTGATCACAGCTCACTGTAGCTTCGACCACCTGAATCACAGTCTCCTGAGTAGCTGGGACTACAGACCCATGCTGCCATGCCAGGCTAATTTTTGTATTTGATGTAGAGACGGAAGTTTCATCATGTTCCCCATGCTGGTCTCGAACTCCTGGCCTCAAGTGATCTGCCTGCTACAGACTCCCAAAGTGTTGGGATTACCGGCGTGAGCCACTGTGCCCAGCCAGTATTTGCTTGATTTTTAAACTCTTTTGGCACATGAATATATATATATATATACGCCTTCTGCAATTTAATGAATTAAAGAAAATTTTCTTTGTAATCTGTACAATTCTGTTGCCACTCCTAAGGATTTCTTCCTCCCTCCACACCAAAACCAGACTTAGGGCTAATTTGCAATGAAACCCCAGTTGCAAGCACTTTTGACCAAGTACTGACATCTAGTGGCAGTGAATGTAACTTTTTGCCGGAACAAGGAACCAGAAAGTTTGGTCTTAGGGTGCCAGTACTATGTAGGAAAGAAGGCTGTCAAACACCGCATTAGCAGAAATCAACTTTCTGCCTGGTGCAGGTGGGTAAACAGAAACCCTCTTCAGTTCCACCTATGACGGCAAACCAAGTCACTGAGGCTAGTTCAGAGGTCTCCTCCTCTGTGACGCCTGCATTGAGTCTCTCACAGGCCCCTCTACTCTCTGTGCTATGCCAAAGCCTGTGCTTGTTTCCTTTAGAGCACTTCTCAGCTGGGCTATGTATGTTTGTCTGTCTGTCCCTCTCCTGCTCTCTAGACTATGAGCTTCTTCTGCAGGGCAGAGGTCTTGTTTCATGCTTTCCTTTATATGCCTAGAGCCTTGGCACATAAATAATATACACAAGATTATACATCATACATACATACATATAATTATACAATTTATGGAATAAAAATGAGTGAATGAAAGAGTAAATGTCCATTACTTTAATAATGTCAATTCCAAAAAATGTGACATCTGCTTCTCTTAAATCATTTTGTAGATGTGGCAGATGCTGCAAGGCTTTGTGTCAAGGCTCCGGCAGGAAGAAAGAGCTTCTTCCTCAGCTGCTGGGAACTGCTGGCAGAAGGTCCTCAGCTATAACCTTCTTTCCAAATTGTGTCAGCTGAAGAAACAGCCTCACCCAAGACCAGCCCTCCGCCTGGGGCAGCCATATCCAGTACCTGACTAGGGTGGCAGTATGAGGGCCCACAGTTAGAGATTCACCTCTGATTCCTGAAGATGCTGTGATGTTTCTAAGGCCTGCCCTCAGGGGCTTAGTGTGTCTTCCTTGTGTCTCCTTTCCCAGACCCTGAGTAATCTGCCCCATCTCTGCACCTGCAGAAACATGCCCCTCCCATGGCACAGGACACACCTCTAGTGTCCCTGCTCCTGCACTCAGACAAGCTCAGCTGAGTACTGTGGTTTAATTTACAATGTTGCCCTGTTTTCAACTCTATGGTTTGCCTCTGTATCCCTTTGTGTCTTGCATTGTTTCCTTCTTTCCTTTCCTTTTCCCTTGACAAATAAACACCAGACTTTGTCTTGTGGAGTCTCACATTATGAGATATAGAATCCACAAGTTCTGAGTCTTCCCCTGACATTGTTCAAACAAATGCTGCCCATCTTCACTTTGCAGACAGTAATTGTACCAAGGAGAGAGTTTCTAGACCAGAACCCAGCAAATTTTTCTGTAAAGGGCCAGAGAGTAAACAATTTAGACTTTGCAGGCCACGTGGTCTATGTCGCAACTATACAATACTGGACTGTTGGAGTACAAAAGCAGCCATAGGCACCACTCAAATGGTTCCAGTAGAACTTTATTTACAAATCAGGCAGTGGGCAGGATTTGGCCCATGGATCATGTTTGCTGATGCTGTTCTAAGCAGTCATCATCTACTCCCAGCCTGGGCTTGACCTATGGCTGTCTTGCCTGACTCATGCGTTCTGTCTTCCAATGAGTCTTGGCCTTCTGTAGTCTCAGGCTTTTCTTTGTGACCCAGAACTGTGTCATCCAGATGGTCTGCACAGTACCTGTGTCAACTTGAAGCTCACCTGAAGTTTTCCATGCACATGAAGTAATAAATTATATGCTGACCTTGCCCTATTTTATGGTGAGAAGAAACCAATGACTTTCTCCAGTGTCTGGTAGTGATAAGCCTATGCAGAAGAACTAAGCCTGAGGAGAGGGCTGTTTTAGACAAAGTGCTTAGAGAAATCCTTTCTAAATAGGAGAACACTGAGCAGAAACCTGGCTGCATTAAGAGGGAAGACTTCTAAGGGAAACCCATTCCAGGCAGAAGGCAAGAGAGTGAAAAGATGTGAGGTGGTCACGTGTTTGCTACGTGGAGGAACGGTCAGATGCCACGTGGAGGAACGGTCAGATGCCACGTGGAGGAACGGTCAGATGCCACGTGGCTTGAGCAGAGTGAGCAAAGGGTAAAGTGTAGGGGATGAAGTTAGATTTTAATCCTACATTTCTAATTGCCTGTGAAAATGAGCTTTCCAAAAATATATGTGCTGTAGTTCTGGTTATTTCCTGAAATATCAATCCAGGCCCGTTGTTATGAACAACTCCAAGCTCTGTATTAAGAACTCATGACTTTGCTAGCACATTCTTGAGCTTCTGCGTTGGAAATTTTTAGGTATCTGAACAAAGGCCGTTTGTAAACATTGTACTGCAAACATCATCCTCATGATCCAAGAGAAAGTACCTATAAAGGGCTCCTTCTCTACCATGCCCCCAATCCATTTGCTATTTCTTTAGCTGCCTTTTTTTAAGGCAGCTCATTAGCCCTTCACTCTTTGTGAGTTTTTTTATTATAATGAACAAATACAAAAGTTCTGTAAATGTGTCCGCAGACCACTGGATCAGAATCACCTGGGGCACTTGTTGAAAATAAAGATTCTGGGGTCCCTCTCACTGACCATGTAAATCAGAATTTCAGACATTAAGCCCAGGAATCAGCATTTTAAATAAGCTTCCTAGGTGCCTGCTACTCAAAGTGCCATCACCAGACCAGCAGCATGGGTCCCTGGGAACTTGTTAGAAATGCAGAATCTCAGGCCCTATGCCAGGTCTACTGAATCAGAATCCACATTTAACAAAATTCTCAGGTGTTGCCTTTACCTATTAAAGTTTGAGAAAGATAGTCCTAGATGATTCTTCTTACATCCTAGAGTGTGAGAACCACTGATTTAACACCATTAAAGGGAGACAGCAAATTTTTTCACAATAGGTTCTATATTGAGATTTGGATCCCAGGAAATGGTTGCGTGGCTTGCCCAGTAGAAAAGGAACATATGCAGTCTGCAGGTTCCCTTTCTGCATGTGAGACCACTTCAATCTACAAAGATTTTCTAGTTTTCAATGTATTCAACTGCAGAAGTGTGTCCCCTTTCCGAAGCTTGCAATGTCCTTGCTGATGATTGTTTTCCAGGAGTGTTTATCATGGCCACCGGTTGTGGAATTTCATATTGGTATCAAATCTGCTTTTACAGGCTGGCTTTGTGCTGAGTTATTAGTGATATGCAGGTGGCTGGCAGTTTATGCAAGTCAATGTTGCTTTCTAAGTATTTTATTCTTTCATTCAACAAGCATGCACTGCGTGTTGCTAGTTACTGTTCTAGGTGCTGAGGAGACTTGAATACAAAAAATAAGGTTCCTGCTCTCATAGAGCTTCCATTAGAATAGAGAGCTGAAAAAGCTAACAAGCACATAAATCTGATTGCAGTAGTGGTATGAGGGCAATACATTGGCAATACGAAAGAGTGACTGTGGGCAGTTGGGCTCTTTGGGTGCCCTAAGGCTATTCTTGAAGTTACACAACGATTATCTCATTTTAGAAAAGAAAGGCAGCCATCACACCTATCAAAACCAACATTTATTAAGAGCTCAAGTGGCTGGTAGGTGGCCCAAGGGCTGTAGGCACAGTGGTGAATGAGGCAGGCTTCTGCTCTCAAGCAGCTGATGTTCCAGCAGGGGTTGGACTGGGGGTAGAAAATAAACAAAACAAAATATAAGCAAGGCAACTTCAGGCTGTAGTAAGTGGAATAAGGAAAGTAAGAACGGTGATTTCACAGAGAGAAACAGGGAAGGGAGAATGATTAGGAAAAGTTCATTGAGAAGGTGATGTTAGTGCTGATACCTCAGTTGTGTGAAAGAGCCAGTCATGGAAGACCCTAGGGAACACATTTAGTTAAAAGGAACAGCAATGTCCAAAGATGTGAAAAATCTTGGCTTATTTTAGAAAGGAAGAAAGCTAAGTACTACTTGAGCATCACAGTGGGTGAGGGTTGAAGTGTTTCAAGGTAAGACTAGAGAAATCACTCAGGGACACACGGACTCAGAACTGAACAGTGGAATGGTGATGTGAATTGTTGAGACTTTAATCACTGGTGTGTTGGGACCAGTTCTGCCACTGGGAGAATGGGTTGTGAGGTGGAAGGGCAGAGACAGTAGGGAGTAGTGGTGGGTAGGAGGTGGAGGTGGCGGGAAGTGGACCAAATATTCTTGGGATAGAACCTGTGGGGCTTGCTGATGGATTGAATATAGATGATAAGGGAAAGGGAAAAATCAAGAATGCCTGTTTGGGGGCTTCAGCAGCTGAGGCAATGGCAGTGCTACTTATAGAGTGAGGGAAGGGTAATAGGGAGAATGCCGAGTCCTGTATAGGACGTGTTGCACTGAAGATGACACAAGCACTTCATTTTGTACTCTAGTTTTGTAACAGTTGTTTATACTCCTTACCCTTTTTTCCTTTTTGCTTGGCTTCTGTCCTGTCAGTTTCTGTTAGAAGAAATGCAGCAGATAGGATATCGTTTGGCTCTTTGCAAGAGAAAATAAGGTTTAGACAAGCAAGTACAAGGCTTGTTCAGTTGATCAAGGAAGCCACCAGTCTCAGGCCCCTTCTATCTTTCTGTTCTCTCATCATTAATTTATGCTTTCCTCCTCATGGTGCAAGGTGGCAGCGGTTCCTCTGGCATTGGAAGAAAATTCTCCATGAATATTTCATAGATTTTCATTGTTCAGGCTTTCTGAACAGAGGAGGTGTTTGGATTCCCATGGCCTTAGAAACTGGAGATAGTGTCTCCCTAAAGGTATAGAACTCATGAGAGATTTGGAGAGTTAAAATTCCTTTTATCCATCTTGGAGACATTTCTTACAATCCAGATGATCAACCAAGTGATGCCTTCCTCTTCTCCATTGGAGGACATTTCTTTAATGAGTAATCTCTCCCTGGAGGAAAGAATAAGCAGATGTACCAGTGGCCTCTGAATCTCCTAATTTTGGGATATAAACTCTGCTTTTACTTAATTCTACTCAATAGGGATAAATGGGTAGAAATGTCTTTCCTATTTGCATGAACAAAAGTACCTTTGAATTTAGCACAAATGCTTTCATGCATACAGAGCCATGCTTAGCATGGACCAGGGGAAGGAAAAAGACATGACTGGAAAACCAGCACCCAGTCCTTGTAACAAACATCTCTCATAAACACACACTGCGCAGATGGTGAAAGAACAGCACCAGAAGTAAAAATAACTACAGAACTATTTGTACCCTTCTCAAATGTATTCTGCTGGTTTCTCAAAAGCTATTGAGTAAAACTAGAAATCAGAATACTAAAAGGCATCTATCATCTGTATTAATTCTGCACCATTCACTACTATTTAATAAATTCAGCAATGGAAGAATGTATTTGGAATAGCAGGAAAGAGTACATAATATTAATACATATGAGAAGCTCCCAGCAACAGAGGAGGCTTTGTTCTCTGAGTTTTTAGAAATGATTTCTAAAGTTGTTTACTTATGAATAAAATCACGCCTGAATCAGTCTTTCTTTGGTTGTTTTGTTCTCTCAGTGGCAGCAACGTGCTTCTTCCCAGGACTCAGTCTACCCTGCAGGCCTTAAAAACCTTCCTCTCTGGGCAGCTGTTTTGGATAATGCACCCTGACTCCTCGCCATTCTGTTTTTATATTTTTTGCAGATTTCAAATACAATATAATTCACATATATAAAATCCACCTCTTTAAAGTGCACAATCCCGTGATTTTTTAGTAAATTCACACCAATTTGTATATCTATCCCCACTGTCTAATTCCAGAAATTTTAATCACCCCTAAAAGAAACTTTGGAATTGTTAGCAGTCACTCCCTATTTCTCTCTTGCACAGCCCCTGGCAACTACTAATCTACTTTCAGCCTCTTACAGATTTACCTGTTCTGGGTATTACCTATAAATAGAACCATACAATATGCAGCCTTTTGTGTCAGGCTTGTTTCACCTAAATAGTATTTCAAGGTTCATTCATGTCATAGCATGTATTTCATTCCTTTTATGGCTGAATAAATTTTCCATGGTTTGAATAGATCACATTTATTTTTCAATTCATGAACATATGGGTTATTTCCACATTTTGGCTATTATAAATAGTGCTGCTATGAACATTCATACGCTATATTTTGCATGAACCTATGTTTTCAATTCTCATGGGTATGTACCAAGAATGGAATTGCTGGGTCACATTTTGAGGAACTACCAAATTGTTTTTCCAAAGTGGTGCAGCAGTTCACATCCTCACCAGTAATGTATGAGGGTTCCAATTTCCCCATATCCTTGACACTTGCTATCTGTCTTTTTTGATTCTAGTCATCCTACTGGGTGACAAGCAGTATCTCATTGTGTTTTTAATTTGCATTTACCTAATGACTAATAATGTTAAACATCTTTTGAGGTGCTTATTGGCCATTTGTCTCTCTTCTTCAGAGAAATGTCTATTTATGTTCTTTGCCCATTTAAGACTTAGATATTTTAATTATTGAGTTGTAAGAGCTTTTCATATATTCTAGATACTAGATTCTTATCAGGTATACGATTTGCACATATTTTTTACCATTTTGTAGACTGTCTTTTCACTTTCTTAATATAGTCCTTTGATGCACAAAAGTTTTAATTTTGATGAAGTTCAATTTATCTGTTTTCTCTTTTGTTGAGTGTGCTTTAGGTGTCATATCTAGGAAACTGTTGCCTAACCCAAGGTCATGATGATTTAAACCTATGTTTAATTCTAAGAGGTTTATACTTTTAGTTCCTAGATTTAGGTCTTTGATCCATTTGGAGCTAATTTCTGCATACAGTGTGAGGCAAGGAGCCAAACTCACTCATTTGCGTATGGATGTCCAGTTGTCGAATTATAATTTATTTAAGATTATTCATTCCCCATCGAATAGTCTTGACATCCTTATCAAAAATCAATTCATTGTATGGGTATAGATTTATTTCTAGATTCTAAATTCTATCCCATTGATCTCTTTGTCTGTCCTTATGCCAGTACCATGCCATCTTGATTAACATAGCTTTGTATTAGGATTTAAAATTAGGAAGTGTAAGTCCTCCAACTTTGTTTTTCTTTTCAAGATTATATTGGCTACTCTGGGTTCCTTGCATCTCCAAATGAATTTTAGGATCATTTTTGCAAAAAAGGCAGTTGGAATTATGCCAGTCATGTTTTGCCTGACAGTTTGGGGCTATTTATTTGGCACTCTTGTTACTGAGTCAGAAATTCAAGAAGTGAGGGTGATTCAGGGTACTTAAATTTAAATATTACCCATTTCCTCCAACAACCACCACATATATTTGGTAAAATGATGGATTATCAATTTAGGGGTTCAAAAATGTTCAGAGAGAACAGTGTGTTCTGACTTGGAATGGCATCTTCTCTCTCTTCTGCCCTGCTGTCCTTGCCCAGCTTGGATACCAGAAGTAGCCTGCATTCTGGCCTCTGCCCTGTACAAAAGCTGGAGGACTTTTAGCAGGTTGCTTTCTTCTCCAGAAGTCTAGACCCTAGTCTAATTCTTAGCAATGGCTCTGGTTCCTAACTCCTACATCCGGCGCATGGCGACAGAAGTAAATTCTCCTGTACAGGCTTAGGGAAGCCTCTCTAAAGATAGCTCTGCTTGGGTCACACAGAAGAAACAGCACTGCATGGATCCCAGGGCTCTGCTTCAGCATTGCCTGGAACATCGTTGGCTTCAACGTTATAAGACAGCTAAGCACTCTAATCAAAAAGGTTGAAAAGAAAAAAAACAAGTGGTTTCTAATCCTATAAAAACTAAATGTTGATACCATGTAGAAGTCTCTGAGAACTCTATATCCCTACTGTTGCTTGGTATTCAGAATTCTGTCTTCCTCATGGGCTATGCAGAAGTTTCTGTTCTCTGCGGCTGCACTGTTCTTTACGTCCCAGACAGAGATTCCCAGTGAACCCTGTTGCTCCTTCAGCCTTTTGCCCCTCTCTTTTCTAGGGAGTCAAACTACAATTCACAGAAGAGTTTCTGGCCACTCCTCCTGCCCACAGAATCGCAAAGGCCTGCAGGCCTGTGTAAGTGTGGCAGAGGGCGTGTGGGAGAGCTCCATGGAAGATGCGTCTGTCCTTATGCAGACTCCACTGATTGGCTATGAGTGCTGTAACACACACTGCTGAATCTTGCAGCATTTTTGCCATTGACCTCAGTTTCCCTGACCTCTGAGTGATTCAGTACATCTGACAGAGGGGATGAAAACCCTTTGGGGGTCCCTGCCTGTCCTATATCCATCTCTCTTGGAATGGCCCCTCTGACCCCTCTGTGAACTCTGTGACAAGTCCTCAGCCCCAGCTTGGGACACGAAGGCCAATTCCATTAGCTGAGCAGTGAATCTCTTTCTCTCTCTCTCCCTCTCTCTTTCCGGAATCTGAGACCCACCCAGACTATGGTCAGTCCATGGTAGCTGTGTGAACCTGTGTGGACATGTCAAGTGGGCACCAGGTATGGGCAGAATTTTGGAGAACAAAATTCGAACAGGTAACTTGAGTAAGCAGAGACCACAAGCGTAGGAGATGTCAGAGATAGGAGGAAGAAAGAGGGAAAACAGGCAACAATAGAGGGCCGCTGGAGGCCCAGCCGGGACTGCCACAGTGACCTGACCCATCCAGGACTAAACCTTTGGCTGTACCTGTCTGCTCCAGCTCCTCTAACTTTACTTCAGTGGGTTGGGCCCCAGGAGCTGACTGTGAATCCAGGGGCATTTGGGCATATCTAGACTGCGTTTTGTTGCTGTTTTATTTTTCCTTCAAGTGTTTTTTCTCTTAAAAATGGGGTGATGGGCTTTTATCCTGGAATAGACCTATGCTTAATAAAAAGTGTTTCTCGAAAAATACAAAGAATTTTTACACCCCACAAAACCACCAAAACGTTTAAAAAAAGATATTTTGGAGTTGAGTCGATGTCACCTACCTGGTGGGTCCTGAAGTCTTAACATACTAACCACAGTCTGAGGACTAAGGTGTGTCTGTCCAGCCCTCTGATGTTGCAGACGAGAGACTAGAATCCTAAAGGAAGGCAGGGCCTTTCTTCCTCGCATCTTTGTCCATTTTCTAAAGTGAAAATTGAGGTTTTGTGGGACTCACAGCCCTGCAACGAAGATTCAGAGGCTGAAGGTGAATAAAGCGTTTAGTAAATAGCCTTAAAAGATAGGCTGCGCGGTGGATCACGAGGTCAAGAGATCGAGACCATCCTGGTCAACATGGTGAAACCCCGTCTCTACTAAAAATACAAAAATTAGCTGGGCATGGTGGCGCGTGCCTGTAATCCCAGCTACTCAGGGGGCTGAGGCAGGAGAATTGCCTGAACCCAGGAGGCGGAGGCTGCGGTGAGCCGAGATCACGCCATTGCACTCCAGCCTGGGTAACAAGAGAGAAACTCCGTCTCAAAAAAAAAAAAAAAAAAGGCTGCGGGAGGCGCACACGGCTTCTCTCTCTTGATGCTTGCCTCCTGCCGCAGTGCTGCCCACACCCTCTCCAGCAACCTCCGCCCCGCGCCGCAACCCCAGGTCCTTCCAGCAGCGGAACTGAGAACCGCAGCCCCGGCCCCGACCGGAAGCCCCATCCCGCCGCCGGAGACGCGGACTCGGGAGCGCGCAAGTCAGCATCCAGGCTAGCCGTGTCGCGTCCCGCGCTCCGCACGGGTAACGCTTGCCAACCTCGCAGCCCTCCCGGGGTCGTCGCGGGCGAGATTTCCGAGCTCCCGACGCGCTCGCGGCTCCGCTCAGCCCTGACTTCCGAGGGCCCGCGTCGGCCGCTCCGCCCGTTTCTGGAAACTTTAGTTCCGGCGCTCGGACTTAGGAGGATTGTGGTGGGGTTTCCGATGCTTTACGTTTTCTGCGGGGTTTGGGCAGTCCTTGGGGAGCCCCGAAACCGAAGTCCGCGGTGTATTTAGGGGCTGGGAGTGGAACCTCAGGAGCCTGCGAGCCGCCTGAGGGCTTGGGCCGCTCTCCTCGGCGGATGACCGGCGCCGGCAGCCTCAGAGAGCCGGGGGCCTGCCTCCACCGCTAAGGGTGCCCTGGGCTGCTGGGGTCCGAGTCTCTGCCCTGCTCCACCCCTTCTCACAAAGCCCCTCCACCTTCCTGAGGAGCTCCCTTCTACCCATCTTCCTGTCCCCAGCCTTGTACTACTTCTATTTTCCGTATTATTTATTTATCCTGGTTATTGGTCAGAGTTTCTCTGACCCTTTCACTCTGGAATAGGTTCCAGAGGAGTCACTCGCACGGGAAAATTATTAGAATAGAAAATCCCAGAGGTCACAAAGTTCAGATCCCCATCCCATGCTTGGAGCCCTCATAGAGCAGCCTCACAACACGCTTGGTTTTTTCCTCAACTGCACCACCACCTGCGGTTGCTGATTCCGCCTCTAGCTTACGTGGAACCCAACCATGTGTATTTCTCTGTAGCTCTGCTCTCTTGGCCTGGGAATGCTGCTCCTGGCGCCCATTGGATAGAATAGGGACAGTCCTGTTGTGTGAAGGGCATGGGTCTCTGCTAATCAGGCCCGTTCCTTCCATGACCTGTGCAGAGCCCTGCGCCAGCCCCTCTGCCCACTGTTCCAGGACAGTTGTTCTACATCCTCCTTCCCAGTGCCCGAGGTGTTCCACCCAGGGAAGGACATTTCAAAAATAATTTCTTTTGCTTTACCTTATGGCCCTGCCTGCTCCTCCTCTCACTCCTGCCATGGTTTCTTTGGCAGCTCAGGTCTAGCATTTAAGTCTGGTCCTCTGAAGGCTTTCTTTCTGTTACTCCAGGGTCTTGGGCAGTTTACGATGGCTTTAACTCTTACTACAGAATTCCAGAAATTCCTCTTTGTGGAAGGCACTGCTAGCCTCTGCCTCCGCACCCTGCCCCGTTCTGTTTTATGGAACACTGCGCCTGCTTTGCTTATCTACTGCAGTTAACTTTCAAAGAGATTTCATCTCTTTGACATGGACTCACATACAGGGAGACTGACCTTGTGTCCTGGGTTGCCAGAGACAGTTCTGGCTTATACCGTTGTCCCACCATAATCACTTTCAAAAGATTCATGGTTTGTATAATCAAGCTTGTCTTTGTCTCTAAGTTAGATGCACTTAAATTTGTAATTAAGAGAGTGGCACGTGGCAGCCCATGTGAGACTTCACTGGCTCACAGATTTTAGAGCCACAGACTAAGAAACCAGAATTCCTCCAAGTCAATGCTCTTACCCTTCATGTAGATAGAGAGCTTTGGGTGGCTTTGCCCCCAGAGGGTAGGGGTTCCCCTCCCACCCTGGCACAGAAAGTCCAAGCTAATACTAAGAAGTATGTCTAGTCAAAGTCATCCCCAGTTACTATGGGGCTTGGAAGCCAGTACTCCTGTCATGATCCAGAGGAAGGTGTTGTTCAAGCCCAGCTCCTTGACTGGTACCTGGCTCCTGGAAAAGTAACTGACGTGGAAGTGTGACCAAAGTTAGGCCTGAGGTGTCCTTGGCTTCCCCAGGAACCAGAGAACTGAGTCCATGCAGGGACAGTTAGTTTTAAAGAGACTGCATGTCAGCACTTCTAACTGTCCGAGCATTAGGCTAAGAGGTAGAACACTGGTTATCCACTAGGATGACCAACCATCTTTGCCTGGGATTGAGGGGTTTCCTGGTACATGGGTCTTGCAGTTTTAAGACCAGAAAACCTCTAGGCAAACTGGGATGAATTGATTACTCTCTCTCAACCCTGGCTGCATGTTAGACTCTTGATGACCCTCTCATTTAGAGTCTAATTTAATTGATTCAGGTATTTGTACTTTTTTTTTTAAGCTTTCAAGTTGATTCCAGCAAGCTACCAGAGTTGAGAATTACTTGGCTGTAGACAGTGTTTCTAATAACCATTGAAGTTGTTTGTTTTTTGAGCAGAGGCGGACCCAGACATCTCTCAAAGGGGTATATGACCCTGTGTTTTGGTCTTAACCTTATCAAGAGGGACATCAAGCTAGCAGTTGCCTACTATTACTATTATCTGTCCCCACCCCCAGCCCTTCTTTCCTACTGGTGAGGACCAAGCTTTCTCTTTTCCTGGCATACTCTGATACCCTCTCCTTCAGGATAGGAGGTTAGTGGAATTGCCTCATTTTGATTGGTGGAATCATGATTTGCACAGTTGCAGATGAAGCTGGCGTGAGACTTGAGATAGGACTGCCATCTCTAGGTCTGGGACACGTGCCCCCAGAGAGTGATGGTCCAGAGGCTAACTGTGGAGCTGTGTGTGCTTTGGCTTTGCCCCGTGGGATGTGGGAGCTTTGAAACCAGGTGCCTCTGGGACTGTCCCCTCTGCAGGCTTCCAGGATCATGTGGTACGTTAGCACCAGGGGCATGGCCCCACGGGTCGACTTTGAGGGGGCCCTCTTCTCTGGCTATGCATCCGACGGAGGCCTCTTTATGCCTGAGGAGCTCCCACAGTTGAACAGAGAGACCCTGTGTCAGTGGAGCACACTCTCCTATCCTGGCCTCGTGAAGGAGCTGTGTGCCCTCTTCATTGGCTCTGAGCTCATTCCAAAAGATGACTTAAATGGTAAGCACTCCCACCTCTACTTCCACTCCCCCAGCCCCTGCCAGCTCAGTCTACAGAGTTGCAAATCCATCACCAAACCACTAAGAAGTCTATAATCACGTTTCTCAAACTTTGGGATTTTTTCCTGACTCTAGAATCCCAGGACTGAAAATATTCTGAAAGATTTCATCCTTTCTTCAGTAAGATGAATGTTGAAATTACTTACAGGGAATTCTTTCTTTCCTTGTCTTTCTTTCTCTTCCTCTCCCTTTCTTTCTTCCTCTCTTTTCTCCTTCCTTCCTTTCTTTCCTCCCTCCCCTCCCCTCCCCTTCCCTTCCCCTTCCCCTTCCTCTTTCTTTCTTTCTTTCTTTCTTTCTTTTCTTTTCTTTTCTTTTCTTTTCTTTTCTTTTCTTTTCTTTTCTTGCTTTCTCTCTCTCTCTCTCTCTCTTTCTCTCTTCAAAAACCTCTTCAAGACTAGGGATTTTATAATTGTCTTGAGTGACTTGAATGTTGGGGTGTTTCTTTCCTGCACATAAAGCACCCAGACCCCCAAATTGCTATTTTGTTTTTTGAATGGTAATTCCAGAGGGGACTTCATGACTGTCTGGGACCAGCTTGTCTTAAGCTGTAATGTGCCTATGGATTCCCCTGGGGAATCTTCTTAAAAAGCAAATTCTGATTTAGTAGGTCTGGTGTAGGTGTGAGAATTCTGCATTTCTGTCAGATGTCCAGATAATACTAGACTACTGGTCCATGAACCACACTTTAAGTAGCAAGTACAAAATCCATAACATGGTGGTGGTGGTTTGGGGTTGGCAAGAGAAAGGATGACTTAAAATGCAGTCCAATGACCAGCAGTGATGGCATTGCTTGGGCATTTGTTGGAAATCTGAGACTCCCTCCCACTGACTGAACCAGCCTGCATTTTAACAAGATCCCAGGAGCTTGGTTTGCCAGTGACAGTTTGAGAAGCTCTGCTCTAGGACTTCCACAGTTTGCCTTAGGGAGGGCTGTATATCAACCATCAAAAGGTTCTGGTGTCACAGGTGTGAGAGTTAGTAATGCAACAAACAAAAAGCTTCCTCTTTTTAGGAAGGAACATTAGATGGGATGTGACATTAATGTGTTATGTAGCTATTTAATTAACACCTGATTGGAGTACTTGCTCACAAGATAGTTAAACAATTAAGAAGTATAAAAAGTGAAAAATAAAGTCTTCTAGTACCAGTTCTGGTCTCTGGGGAAATCACTAAAAGGAATCTATGAACAGTTTGGTGCATGTTTTCCCAGACTTTTTTCTAGGTTTATACAATTGTATTCAAAAATGGTATCATTTAAGATGAAAATTTCTGGCCTTTTAACTTAGTAGCAGGAGTTGGAAACTTTATATTCAGAGACTGAGAGGGAACTTGAGAAAGAGACCAGGCCCCACAGTGGCTCTCCACCCCTCTATCATCACAGATCTGATTGACCGAGCCTTCAGCAGATTCCGTCACAGAGACGTGGTCCATCTCTCCAGGTTGAGGAATGGGCTGAACGTGTTGGAGCTGTGGCATGGCGTCACGTATGCATTTAAGGACCTGTCCCTGTCCTGCACAGCACAGTTCCTACAGTACTTCCTGGAGAAGAAGGAGAAGCACGTCACTGTGGTCATAGGTGTGTTTTGGGGCATGAACATGGAATATCTGAGTGTAGGGTGTCCATATATAGGATGCCATTCATTGAACCACTTAGGGACTACATTACCAGTTCTTCCAGAGCAGGGTTCCTAACCTTTTCTGGTGCCATGGACCCCTTTGCCAGGCTGATGGAGGCTGTGGATCTTTCTCAGAGTAATGTTTGAAATGCCCAAAATGCTTAAGATGATGTCGTTCACAAGTTCACTGTTGTCCTGAATTTTATACATGGATCCATGGACCCTAGGTGGAGTACTAGATTCATATCTTCCAAGTATTTGAAGTAGATGTTGCTTTATTTGACAATAGTGCTTTGGGGACCATTTGTTTCCTCATTCATTCTCTTTGTTCTAAAAGGGGCGAGTTCTTCTTTTTTCCCATCAAGGAACATCTGGGGACACAGGAAGTGCTGCCATTGAGAGTGTTCAAGGGGCAAAGAATGTGGACATTATTGTTTTGCTGCCCAAAGGTCACTGCACAAAGATTCAGGAGCTCCAGATGACAACGGTGCTGAAGGAGAATGTCCATGTGTTTGGAGGTGTGTGCTGAGGGAGAGTCTCTGGGGACAGTGCAGCCCTACCTTAATTGGGTCTGCGTTGGGAGATGGGCCGGAACACAACTGCACGATTGGCTAGCTGACTGTGTTTTTTTTATCAGTCATATTCAAGGTTGGTGTATATGCCTTGGCTTAGCTCTGGGAAGGGTTCTGGCTACACAGTAAACTATTGAAGGCGACAGAGACGTAAGTCAATACCAACAGTACAACATAGGAAGTACAGATTGAAAACCAAAAAATGCCACCTTCATGCAGGTCCAACCTACAAGTGTCATATATGTTGGGAGCCTCATGCAGAGCCATAACCTGGGCCAAGTGACTTGGATTTTGTTCCAAGACTGAAGTTTGGAGGACACCAACATGTTAAATAATTATTTTAAGAAAATGTGCTACCAGGTGCAGTGACTCATGCCTGTAATCCCAGCACTTTGGGAGATAAAGGTGGGTAGATTGCTTCAGCCCAGGAGTTTGAGACCATCCTGGGCAACATGGCAAAACCCTACCTCTATAAAAAATACAAAAATTAGTCAGCCGTAGTGATATGTGTCGGTAGTCTCAGCTACTCCAAAAGCTAAGATGGAGGATCGCTTAAGCCCAGAAGGTTGCAGTGAGCCAAGATCATGCCATTTCATTGCAGTCTGGGCAACAGAGTTGAGACCCTGTCTCAATCAAAAAAAAAAATAGAGAATGTTTTATTACATGTTGACAGTTCACGCTGTTCTTTATAATATGGGAACAACTAAGCCACACACTGGTTATCCAGTCTAAATATTTAAAACAGAGAACTACTTAGTGGTACCCACCACTGGTTATACCCCTACCTGAGTCACATTATGGAATCACAGCATTTTGTGCTTGGAGAAAAGCAAACGCCATCTTCTTTAATATCAGTTCATCTATTCTGAATGGATTTAATCTTTATAGGGATTCAAAGCAGAGAAAGGTGGGGTGAGTGTGGGTGGAGCTGTACATTTTTATTTTTTACCTCTCACACTCCAGTGGACCATAGGTAGCTGCAAGGTGGGGACTTGGAATAAGTTTTGGCCTGGGCAGGCTGTGGCCTTGGGCAGGCTTTCCAGGAGGCCTGGCTTAGTTTGGTCACCCACCTGGCAGGACAGCAAGTGTGATGGCAGAGAATATTCCTGCTACACCTGGCCTGGCCTCCTATGATAATCCTGTAGAGGTTATTTTTATATAACATCAACTTTGACAAGGAGCAAAAGCATAGAGAAAACAAACCTTATCCAAAGGAGTAGCATAAATATCCTTTGCCAATTTGTTTAAGAGCAAGCAAACTGTCCCTCTGCTCTGTTCTTTAGAAAGTGCATACACTTGCTGGTGAAAAGTCCATGATTTAGCTAATGCAGGTGTTGATATCATCTTACACATTAGCCTTGCTAATTGCTCACATTTTCCAGTAGTTGTTTCAAGACTTTAATGCACAAGATTCAGGCTCCTGAGGATCCTTGTTATACCCCAGGTACCAAAATTGCTAGTTAGGGATCTAGGACTGTCTTTTCCTAGAATGAAGGAGAGAATAGCATTTTGTGCTCCTGTCCTGTCTGTCTCTTCTTGCCTTGTACACAGACCTAAGGGTGTGAATGAAAGCTCCATTCCTGACTTGTGGATTGGAGAACAGTGCCCAGTTGTAAAGTAATGGCAGAAATGTGGAATCTGATGAATGCAGTAAGTCATTAAATACTGGATCTGAAGCGGGTATTTCTGTTCTGTACATGTTCAAGAAAATGAGAAACTAAGGCAGCAGAGTTCACAGAAATCAGTTTTGTTTACAAATGGCAGTATTCAAATGCTTCCTTTCCTTTCTAGAGCTTTCTGGTTTGGTTTTAAGGAGGATGTGTGTTAGTACAGGATATAACAGCAAATACGTGTTTTTCTGTAGACTGATAAGCTTAGGGAGTAGGAATGGACCACTTAGATTATTGTGTGTGGACACTTGGTTTATAAGGTCATTAATTTCCATGTACATTGTATACTTCGTTCTTCTTAAGCACAGAATAATCAGCAAGTGCTAGGTATTAATTATATTATTTGGGATAATTTTAGCTGGAAGTAGCAAAAAATTCAACTCAGACCAGCTTAAACAAGAATGTTTTCCAGCTTCCATAACTGGAAATCCAGAGGAGGAGTGGGCTCCCAGTTGCTTGATTTGGTGACTCAAAGTGCTCTCAGGAACCTAGGTCCTTCCTGTTCTCTGCTCTGCCATCCCCAGTCCTAAGGCTCTTTCCTCTTGTGGTCATAAGGTGATTCCTTGAGGTACATGTCTCTCCTTTCCTAGAGCTCTTTTTTAAAAGCAGCAAATCTTTTTTTTAGAACCCAGCAAACTTGTATCACCATATTAGGTCTCTGATGGAAAAAAGCAAAAGAAAAAAAAAGAACCCCCCAAACATGTCCTTGTGGTTTACTGACCTGAACTTAGTCACATACTCATTGTGGAACCAAACCTGACCCCAGTACCAGGCACTGATTGGCGTGGTCCTGGCAAAGGAATGGAATCACCACGACTGGTTCTGGCCATTCCAGGTACACACGTGGATCTAGAGTCAGTCCCCCGGCGCCAGTGCTGCTACACAGTGGTGAAGGGCAGAATGGTTAGCACCCTTAATGCCTACTCTGGTACGTTTCCCAGTGAATTTCACCCTCTCCCCTCCCAAGTGTAGATGCAATGGAGAAATACTCAGGTATCAGATAAGAAATCAATATTGGCTTGATTGCTTATTAAGCTAGATTGGGGGATATAACTTTTATTAGTAGACAATTCACCCATAAATTTATCTGGCAATTCACTCATAAATTACACTGATGCACACACCCAGCTTCAGGGATAGGAAGTTCTGTCCATGTAAGCTTACCTGCCTTATAGGAACAGAGAGCAGAACCCCTACCCTGTGATCTAAATGAGGGCAGAGGGCACAGGGGAATTGGTGACAGTTTCCACCCTGGCCCCTGATAGAGGACTGTGGAGGAAAGGCTAGGACTCTTACCATCTCACAATCAGGCACACAGTTCCTCTGTGGAAGAGTCGGGGAAGTGGGCATGGAATACAAAGAGAAATTCTCCCAGTATCCCAGAAGGTTGACATTTGCTATCTTATTTTAGGTAATGGTAGAAACACTGGAACTGGTTCTGGCTGCCCCTTCTGTTCTAAGCTAGGGCAGATCTTTAGGAACACAAGAATCTGAGGCATGGTTTCTGTCCTTGAGGACCTTAACATTGAGTCTAGAGAGTGAGGCCAGGCTATGTGAAAGTAAAGAAACCAAGGCTGTGCGAAGGTCCTAGGAGGAGGGCCTTGTCACAGGTGAGTGCTGACCTCCTGGAGGTTCTGTGTGCTCCTGACAGCTGCTCTCTCTTCTCTCCCCCGGCAGTGGAGGGAAACAGTGATGAGCTTGATGAGCCGATAAAGGCCGTGTTTGCTGATACGGTTTTTGTCAAGAAGCACAATCTGATGAGCCTGAATTCGATCAACTGGTCCCGGATCCTGGTGCAGATGGCCCACCACTTCTTTGCTTACTTCCAGTGTGCACCGTCCTTGGACACGCATCCCCTACCCCTGGTGGAGGTGGTTGTGCCAACAGGGGCTGCTGGTAACCTTGCAGGTAAGGAGCCGCTGGGGCACAAATGGGCTTTCCAGAAAAATGCCTGTGGCCCCAGTCCTTCTAGCTGCCCTTTGGCTCCAACTGTGAGGAGAAAGAAGGTGGAGTCCCAGTTCTGAAGGTGATGGGAAAGCCCACAGAAGAAGCTCCCAGAAGATGTCCCCCCTCATTGCCTGGGGCAGTGTCCTGGGCTTCTGCTGCCATCAGAGGGTGATGGGTTAACCCCATGTGCTCCTGCAGTCTGACCCAATGTGCTCGCTGGCTCAACAGAGTGTGGAGTGGCAAGGTCAAGGGTCAGCTGTTATGCCTGGCTGGCAGTGCCCTCAATCAGAAATGTGGACTTTGCTCCCAACCCTGGTCAGCTGCCCACTGTGAGGGCAAGTGGCTTGACTGGCACATTTGTTCCCACTCCTGGACACAGTACCCTGACCCCGTGTGAAGTGGAAAACGTTGTGGACTTGGGGTTCTGGCCCAAGTTCTGTTCTTTACTAGCTGAGATGCTGTGGAGCAGTCCTTTAGACTCAACCTCTGAGCTATAAAATGAGATCATATCATCATATCTCCCAGGACTGCCTCGATGAGCCAATAAGATTCCTGTGTGCATGCAGACTTTGTAAGGGCAAAGTGCTGTACACCTGTGTAGCATTAAAATCATTTCTCTAATAATCATTAATATTTATCAAGTACTTACTGTGCAGCTGGCACTGTTCTAAGTGCTTTTCATGTATTAACTCATTTATCCTCCTGTGGAGAGGATACTTTCCATTTTGTAATGAGGAAACAAAGGCACAAAGAAAGCAGTCATGCCCTAATTACAGAGCTGGGCAGCAGTGGAGCAAGGAGCGTGACCCAGGCAGTCTGGCTGCAGAGCTGACAAGGATAGGGGAATTACTGTTCCTGATAGTTCCAGCAATGGCATTCATTGGTTCTGATGGGCACCGAGGATGGTCTAGCTGAGAGCACAGAAGCATCTTAGTGGTTAGGAAGCTTCCTGACCTCTGCCACTAACAGGGGTGGAGAGAACAGTGGGCTGGCAGGCAAGGAGGGATGGGCTTCTTTGCCACTATGGGGTAAAGCCCACCATGCTCCCCATTCCTATCACCCTCCAATTAGTGATGCACCAAGTTGTGCAGCCAGTGGCCCTCTACGGCCCAGAGCCTACCACGGTGCTTGATGCAAAATAAACATGTGGCCAACATTTGCTGAGGGTGTTTCTATCCATCTTTCCTCTGTCATGAACCAACTCTTCGGCTTTAAGGCCCTGGACCTTCCTGAGCCTCCATTTCTCCTGTCAGGCAAGGATATCATGATGTTCTCATGAGGATCAGGTGAAATAAGAATGAGAAAGTTGAGGTCAGCAGTTCAAGACAAGCCTGGCCAACATGGTGAAACCCCATCTCTACTAAAAATACAAAAATTAACCAGGTATGGTGGTGCATGCCTGTAATCTCAACTACTCAGGAGGAAGAGGCAGGAGAATTGCTTGAACCAGGAGGTGGAGGTTGCAGTGATCTGAAATTACACCATTGCATTTCAGCCTGGGCGACAGAGACTCAGTCTCATTAAAAAAAAAAAAAGGAAGTGTTTTTCCGAGTTAGGAGTGATATTAGGTGGTATGGTTGTCCCTAACTCCTCTTAGCTACTCACCAGAGGTCAACTGCTCAGAAAGCACCATATATAAAACCTTACTAAACGATGTAACGTGTCTGGGCTCTATACCTCTCGGGGAGGAATTCCTTGCTTGTTCCATGAAAACAAGACGTGCTGTTGGGATGGACTGTGGGTGCTGCTCTGGCCTCCCCTGGTGCCTGTGAAGGGAGAGTAGTCGGAAGCTACTGGCTCTAGGAGGCTGAGTCAAGGGAGGGTATGTGCTCTGGAAGTGGGTGTATTTTGAATCCTGACTCTGGCACTTCACAGGCTTCGGACAGGTCATTTTGACCTCTTGGAACTTTCATTTCCTCTTCCAAAAATTGGTGTTTTACAGTAGTCAGCCATCTATTAAATACTTCTGGCACCTGGCAGGGGGCTGACACATAGAACAGTCTCATGGTGCGGTGATGTGCTCCTTGTCATTCTCACGCTCTCTGGCTCTCTTGTTCTCTCTCTTCTCTCTTCTGTCTCTGTGTGTGTGTGTGTGTATGTGTGTGTAACAGTTTTATTCCTAAATGATTCACATACCATTCACACATTTTAAGTATATGATTCAGTGGTTTTTTAGTATAATATTTTCAGAGTTGTGCAACTATCACCATAATCAATTTTGGAACGTTTACATCATGCTGAAAAGAAATGCTGTGCCCATTAGTAGTCACTCCTGACTTTTCCTTAGACCACCTCCTTTGCCAGCCCTCAGCAACTATGAATCTACTTTGTTTTTATAGATTTTCCTATTCTAGACATTTTCTATAAGTGGAATCATAGAGTATGTGGTCTTTTGTGACTGGCTTCTTTCACCTAGTGTGATGTTTTCAAGGTTCATCCATGTTGTATCATATCAGTACTGTTGCTATTGTGTGGATATACTGTACAGTGGTATATTTTATTTATCAGTTTATCAGTGATAGACATTTGGATTGTTTTAACACCTAGGCTGTTATGAATAATACCACAGTGAACATTTGTGTATGTTTTCATGTGAACATATATTTTTATTTCTTTTGGGTATATAACTAGGAGTGGAATTTCTGGGTTATATGATAACTCTGTTTTTAATATGTTAAGGAACTGACAGACTTCAGTTTTCCGAAGTGACTGCACCATTTTATGTCACCACCAGAAATGTAGGAATTTTCCAGTTTCTCCACATCCTCACCAACACTCATTATCTGTCATCTTGATTCTAACCATCCTAGAGGATGTGAAGTGATGTCTCATGTTTTTATTTATATTTCTCTCATGACTAATGATGTTGAACATCTTTTCATGTGCTCATTGGCCATTTGTGTGTCTTCTTTAAAGGAATGCCTGTTCTTTTCCCCATTTTTAAATTGGGTTATTTGTATTTTTATTGTTGAGCTGCAACAGTTCTTTATATATTCTAGATACAAGTACCTTATCAGATACATGAATTGCATTTTTTCCCATTCTATGAGTTGCCTTTTTACTTTCTTGATAGTGTCTTTTTAAAGCACAAAAGCTTCAAAACACAAAATTTATTAATTTTGATGAAGCCCAATTTTTTTCTTTTGTTTCTAAAAAGCTATTGTTCTCCTGTCTTGTCTTAAGCTGGGTACATTGCTCAGAAGATAGGCCTGCCCATCCGTCTGGTTGTGGCAGTGAACCGCAATGACATCATCCACAGGACTGTCCAGCAGGGAGACTTCTCTCTGTCTGAGGTTGTTAAATCAACCTTGGCATCAGCTATGGACATTCAGGTAGGCCTGGGGGAGGTGTGCAGATCTGGCCCAGGTATTAGTTGGGGCTGGGTGGGGCTGGATGGGGCTGAGATCAGTGTGGGCCTGAAACTGACTTTCTGCCCAGGTGCCCTACAACATGGAAAGGGTATTCTGGCTGCTCTCTGGCTCTGACAGCCAGGTGACAAGAGCCCTCATGGAGCAGTTTGAAAGGACCCAAAGTCTGAATCTGCCCAAGGAACTGCACAGCAAGGTCAGTCACTACCCACATACCACAGAGAAAGGAAAGGGTACAGCGACATCGCAGACCTGGGGTTTGGAAGTCTGGTCAGGGGAAGAGGACACCTGTTTCTTGAGGAAGGGATGGAGGGAGGGAGAGATGGAGGGGCGAACTCAACAGGAACAATGGTCTCTGTTCATACTGGTTGGGCAAAATGGTTCCCAGTTGCCAGAACTATTGGAAATTAACACCCATAATAAGTAAAAATAAGTTAATGTATCAAGCCATGTATTACCAGGAAGTATGCAAAGTGCCTCATGTATATTATTTGACTTAAATCTCATAACAACTCTATGAGGTTTACTATCCACATTTTATAGATGAAGGAACTGAGGCACAGAGTTTAGGAAACTGGCCCAGTGTCTTAGAGCTCACTTGGGATTGAGGCCATTTGACTCTGAACCATGTTCTGTATTACCTCTCCTCATTCAATCAATTATTCCATGTAAAGTAGCAGTACAAGTGACTGGCTCATAGCTCAAGAAACAGGTGTCCTCTGAGTGGCCATCCAGACTGTGCATACCTCCAGTGACCAAGCCCTCACTGCCTCACATCAGCTCTCACCATTACAAAAGTCTTTATGTTGAGCTAGAATCTGCTCCTAGCTTACACAGTCTGATTCTATATCCTAGTATTTCCTGTATTTAAAGAGAATCCTCATTTACCAAGTTAGTCTTCTCACTTCCTTTAGTGGTCCCTTGCATGACATGATTTTGCATGGTAAATATCCACCTTAAAGTGTTGTTTTCAAAGTTGGATACAGTTCTCCAGGCTGAGCCATATCAGTGCAGGCCGGAGCGGAATTTTGGCCTTCTGGAATCTGTGCTGCTTTTGATGCACCCAAAGATCAATTTATTTGGTTAATGGTATGCTTTGACATTCACATTCCTTCTCATATAAATGAGGTTCTCTGTGAAGACAGACGCCATACCCCCCACTCCTTCATTCTCTTCCTGGCTATACACATAGAAGATACTTCACTTGCTGGAATGGCATTCATCCATTCATGTTACATATCTACTGTGAGCCAGGAACTGTGCTAGGTGCAAGAAACACAGACAAGTAAAATAAATTCATTGCCTGCTGGGAACCCTAATTCACAGCAGGTAGCTATATGAAAATCTATGATACCAGCTGGGTGAAGTGGCTCATGGCCTGTAATCCCAGAAATTTGGGAGGCCAATGCAGGCAGATCTTTTGAGGTCGAGAGTTTGAGACCAGTCTGGCCAACACGGTCGGTAAAACCATCTCTACCAAAACAAAAAACAAAAATTAACTGGGCATGATGGTGTGTGGCTATAAATCCCAGCTACTTGGGAGGTTGAGGCAGGAGGATCACTTGAACCTGGGAGGTGGAGGTTGCAGTGAGCCAAGATTGCATCACTGTACTCCAACCAGGGCAACGGAGAGAGACTCTGTCTCAGAAAAAGAAAAGAAAAACAGCTGTGATCTTTATTGTAGTCAAGTATATGCAGGGTGCTTGATGTGTTGTAAGCATGCAGTACATTTTCAGAAGATGATCAAATAAACCAAACACACTGAAAAGGGAGTCCTCCTCTGTCTGAAGGAAGCAGAGAGGGCTTCCTGGAGGAGGTGTTTGGTGAGTTGAATAGGAACTGACAGGAAGGAGGTGTGCCAACAACTAAGTACCAGATGTGTGGCTGCCCCAAGCCTTCTGGCTGTGATAGGTTGTTGAACAAATCTATATTTGTTGACTAGGAGCCAAATCCCAACTAAATGTATTGACATAAAAACTCAAATGGATCCTCAAATTGAGTGAGTCAGCTCAAAACTGGGAGGTTGTATTTTATCATGAGCCACATCTGAGCCATTCTGTCTGAATGTCCCATTGGATCCTTGGGTTTTGTGTGGGTCTGTGGTGGAGAGTGCGGTTTTGTCATCTTTCCCTGCTTCCTCCTACACTGAGTCTCATCCTTCTGACTTGGGACCCTTCAGCTTTCAGAGGCGATGACATCCGAGTCAGTGTCGGATGAAGCCATCATCCAGACCATGGGCCGCTGTTGGGACGAGAACCAGTACTTGCTGTGCCCCCACTCGGCGGTGGCCGTGAACTACCATTACCAGCAGATGGACAGGCAGCAGCCCAGGTATAGGCCATGGGGGCCTGGGTCACTGGGGGACCATTTGAATTTCAGGGGCCCTCTTCTTCTCCAAGCAGCAGGAGAGACAGGAATATGAACAAATGTGTGACGGGTGCTGTGTGGAACTGGGCCCTGGAAACTGTGGGCCCAGAAGAGGGAGCAGGTATCCCAAGGACAGCCAGGGGCAGAGTTGGTGGCTGAGCTGGCCTCCAACCAGGAGGAGGAATTTGCCCAGGTAGCATTATTGTAGCAATAAGTTGAAGGTGCCAATCATCTGTGTCTCTCTCCTCCATACCCCACCCTATCCCTAAACTTCCCCTGTTCCTTCTTCTCCCTCTCCATCTTTTCCTTTTCCATCCCTCTATCTATTCTCTCACTGTTCTCCTGCTGCCACCTGCCCCCATCCCCAGCAGCACTCCCCGGTGCTGCCTGGCCCCTGCCTCTGCAGCCAAGTTCCCGGAAGCTGTCCTGGCTGCTGGCCTGACCCCTGAGACTCCTGCAGAGATCAGAGCCCTGGAGCACAAGGAGACACGCTGCACCCCGATGCGGAGAGGTGACACCTGGATGCTGATGCTTCGGGACACCATTGAGGACCTTAGCTGGCGGTGGAAGGGACATGTTCTGAACGCCTCCCAGTAGCCTGGCTGGAGGTGGCTTCCTTTAGGCCTCAGATCCCAGGGAGGCTCACCCTCTGAGCTGCCTTGTGCACCCTGCCGATTAAGCATAGGTTAGGAGGTTCCTGGGAGGCTGATTAGCTGGGTCTGGAGCCAGCTGGCTTTGCTCTGTTCCCTGGCTTCTCTGCCTGGTCATGAGGGAGGCTGAGTGAGGGGATGTGAACAGTTGCCAGAAGCATCCCCTTCCTCCCTGGCCCAAGCAGCAGTGTCACAGCTGTAGTGAAGGTTTCATGGCCTGCAAAAGAAGAGCCTTGGGCACAGGATTGACATGGCTGCAGGGTTTAGGACCTCAGACCTGTGAAGGTGGGGGTGGCTCACCCCCTTCATGCAGGCTTTATATGTCTCTGAGCCTTAGTTGATTTGGCCCCCCCAAACCAAATCCAAAGCTTCTGGCCCGCCTTGTCAGAGACTTCCACCCTGTTCACATGTTGGGAATCCCTGGAATAAAATGTTTGTTCAGTGTGATGGAGATGGCGTGTCCTGTGGGGAGGTCCCTTCCTAGAAGAGCTGCAGGATTCGGGGCAGCCCTGGGGGCTACTGAGTGGTGGGCTGAGGTGTGTGTGGCATCACTCTGCTGCTCTGCATTGGCAGGCTTGAGGGGCCAGCAAAGAAGGCATGAGCCAGTGGCCCTGGTGGTGGTGGCATCCATAGAGGCTGAGGTGGGGCTCACCAGATGGAGGCTTTCTGGGAAAGCATTGGCATCAATGTCAAGGCGCCCTGTTGCTCATACGTCACTTGGATTTGAGGCTGTTTGACTCAAGTTCCAATCCATTTCATCAGGTTTCAGTCCTGTGTGGGTTGAGGGGAGTTTTAGACAAGCACATGAAGAGCAACACAAACCCCATGCCTTGGATGCTGGAGGCCCCTAGAAGGGCAGGGGAGGCAGGCATTAGATGTAGGGATTTTTTTTTGCCACTAGAGGATGCTGTTGTCACCACCCTGGGGGCTGCTGTGAAATGACCTACGAGGCATCTGTTCTCCAGAGCCCTCTTCCCCTGTCGGCCTCAAGATCTGAAGGCACTGATCACCCAGGTGCAACCCCTAGGGCATTCCCCATCAGAACTTCCCAGCCCCACGTCTCTGTGGGAATAAAGGGAAGGACTTTGGCGCCCTCTGCTGGAAGACTGGACTTTGAGGCACTGCAGTGAGTACCCAGTGGGGAGGACAGGGATGCTGGACCCCAGGAGGACCGAAGGAGTGTTCTTAAAGGAGTGACAGTGACTCCTTACCAGCCATGACAGTTGGCAGTTTCTGAGACATTTTAACATCCACAGCAGCAGACACTGATGCAGCCCCTGGGGTCACTTACCCGTTAGATATGATAGGCCTAATGCTTGGGGGCCACCATTCATTAGAGACCTATGAAAATGTCTTCAGTTCTTTGAAAACCAAAAGAAAACAGTGAGTATAATCCAGCGGGGACTGTATTCGTTTTACTTCTAATAACACAGTTTTACCATAGAATTTTAAATATTTTTTTTTATAGAGGAAGATACCCATGAAAGCAAAAGTGCCCAGTACCCACAAAAGTTACTGTGCAGCCCTGATAATACCTACTGTGTGCCAGGTGACATTTTACCAAAATTAGCTCATTTAATCTTGACAGCAACGTGTGAAGCAAGTGCTACTGTTTCCCCCTGTTGTGGGTGAGAACACAGGCTCTGAGAGATGAGGTAACTTACCAGGGTGGCAACACTGGGAACAGAGAGGCCAGGACTTGAACCCACACATCGTAGCCTCCAGTTTAATGTTTATTTCTCCTCATACACAGCCTCCTGTGTCAGAGGGCACAATCTTATGGGGCTTGCTCTGCTGCCTGCTTTCCTCCATCCTTCCCCAGGCCCTGGCCCTACTCCTTAGTCCTCCCGCCATCTTCCTTTCTTGGATTGGTCTGGGAGATGGCCGTGCTTCTCCAGGAGTCCTCCAGGGACCGCTGCAGGCCTGCTTTCCGGGTCTCTAACTGGCACTGATGCCTGCTGCGGGCAGGTCCATGCAGGTGGCTCCTTTTTCTTTGCTGCTGTATTCTGAGGACCTCTGGCCAGGGCCAAGGTCACAGGGAAACCCCGTCCCCTGAATGGTTCTGGGACCTATCCAGCTCTGAGAGGCCACCATGCCAGTGAGGGAGGCCCAGAATAAGGTCACACCAGGCACAGCGCACATCGACAGGAAACCTGAACTGAGGCTACACTGGCCATAGAGAGTCCTGGGGAAATGAGAAGAAGGACAAGAGTGAGATGAAGTCTGGAGAAGTGCCCACCCCTGTAACACATACATGCACACACACACACACACGTACACACATGCACACACAACACGCATGAGCTGAATTGTGTCACTTCCACTATATGTTGAACCTACAGTATCTCTGAATGTAACTGTATTTGGAGATAGGGTCTTTAAAAAGGTAATTAATTAAAATGAAGTCCTTATGCTGGGCCCTCAACCAGAGGGACTGGTATCCCTTATTTTATAAGAGGAAATTAGGACATAGACATGCATGCACAGAAGGAAGACTGTGAAGTTAGAGGAAGAAGGTGGCCATCTGCAAGCCAAGGATAGAGGCCCGAGAACTAAAGCAACCCTGAGGGTGCCTTGATCTGAGACTTCTATCCTCTAGAACTGGGAGGAAATAAATTTCAGGTGTATAAGTCTCACCCAGTCCCAAGGAGACTCTCTCTCTTTCTCTGTTTCTCTCTCTCACACACACACACCCACCAGTTAGTGGAAAAAACAAGGATCTTAGTACTAGATGAAGTAAGAATCAGGGTGGACCCTTTCTTTTCTTTTACCCACTTACTGGTAGTGATCACAACTAAGCCATTTAATCTCTGGGAGCCGTGGTTTCCTCATCTGCATCTAACAAAACAGATGATCCCTGACTTAGGACTTTGCAACTTTAGGATGGTGATAGTGTGAAAGCAACATGCATTCAGTACACTTTGGATTTTGATTTTCCCCCAGGCCAGTGAGGTGCAGTATGATAGTCTCTTGTAATGCAGGGCAGCAGCAGTGAGCCCAGCTCCCAGTCAGCCCTGTGATCACAAGGATAAATAGCCCATATTCCACAGTATGCTGTGTTGACAGATAACTTTGCCCAACTGTGGGCCAATGTAAGTGTTCTGAGCACATTTAGGGTAGGCGAGGCCAGACGATGATGTTTCTGTAGGTTGAGGGTATTAAATTTTCAACTTAGGATATTTTCAATGTATGAAGGGTTTATTGGGATGTAACTATTGTAAGTTGAGGAACATCTATACTTACCTTGCTGGTTTGCTTTGAGGATTACATGAGATGAAATAATGTATTTCCAAGTGCTGGGTAAACTCTCAAATGCCATAAAAATGGTTCTTGCTATTAACACAATTATAGTTTGCACTGAACAATTTAGTACTTTTAAGCTATCTTGTGTTTTTTGCTAATTGCTTTGTGAATTAGTCTTATCTTGCCTGTGATGTTGCCTCTTCCTTAAGGATAAAGTTCTTCTGTGCCCCTCCCACCCCCACAGTGCTGATGCCGCTTTGGGCACAGAGTTAGAGATTGACCTGGCCCAGCCAGTGTGCCCCACAACAGGATCTGTTAGGGTCACTGGGGACCATATGCCACAGATTAGTCAGTAGTGGCTCTTCTAGCCAGTTAACAAACTATGTTAATTTGTGGTGATGATGAGGATAGTACAATTCCTCTCTTGAGCACCAGTGATGTGCTGAGACCCTTATAAAACACTTTCCAGACATTGATTCCCTTAATCCTTATGAGGAGTCTAGGAAGAAGTAGAGATGAGGGAATGCAGCTCAGAGAGGTAAGATAACTTGTCCAAGGCCACACAGCCAGTGTGTGGTAGAGGAGGGATGTGTAGGCTGGTTATAGGGTCTGTGAGCCTAACCACTCGGGTAGACTGCCATACTATGAGGAGTGCTTTGGGTCTGTTGCCTCCAAGTTTCCGTCAAATCAGTGTGTGGTGGTCTGAAGGCTAGATGGGAAGGTAGAGGGTAGAGGAGAGGGCCCATCATTAGGAGAAGGGCCAGATGCTCTGGGGAGGGGGCATGGAGCCAGAAGCTTTGGGAGGGACTTCCCTCTGACTTAGGGTTGCATGTGGAGCTGGGCTCCTCACTGTGAGGATGGCCTGGAGCAGGTGTCTGCTCAGAGGAGGGTGTTGTAGGAAGAAAGTGAGAGTGGTTCTGGGAATTTCCAGCTGCTGGCAGGGAGGCCCAGCTGGGTGGGCCCTGCAGGAAGAGTGGGGGAGATGGAGCCTTTGCTGAGTTTTCTCAGCCACATCCAGAGAGAAACATGGGGTGAGCAATATAGCGAGAGCAGGGCCATCAGCCTGCTGAAAAGAAGACAGGGTCATCTCAGTGTTCAGAGCTTGCTGCCTTTGCCCAAAAGAGTTTTCCTTCTGAGATCTGCCCTTTCACCCACCAGTGAAAGGGCAGATCTCCAAATACAGTTACATTCAGAGATACTGTAGGTTCAACATATAGTGGAAATCCCACCCACCAGTCCTCCACTCCACAGCTGGGGGGCCTCCCAGGGGCCAGGGGATGGGCAGATGCTGAGGGCCAGCGTGGTTACTTCCTACTATGTGCTGGACAGTGATGGATGCCAGGGGAGAGGTAAAAATGAAGAAAAGATGTGACTGGCATTGATGGAATTCCATGGCCATATCCAGGAGCTGCCCCATGGCTTGAGCAATGTGCTCTCCATTGCAGGCCCCAGGTGCCTCTTACCCTTCCACCCCTGCAGTGACCTTAGTGTTCCAGAGGCTGGTTTGGGGGTCTGCTCCCTGACTACTTACCCATTCCTCAAAGGCCACTGCCATAAACCCAGGCCCTAGTCTCACACCTAGCCTTCACTGTGAATGTTCAACTGGAGCAGAACCAGTAGGAGGAGCTGCAGGCCCAGAAAGATGCCTGGGTCAGGGCTGGGGGAGTGTGGAGAACAGTCTGGGTCTTGAAGGGCTTGAAGTGTCCAGGGAGCCTTCTAGAGTCAGAACTATTTTCTTCTCCTCAGTGGTGTGGTCATTGCAAAGATCTAACATAAACCAACACCCTGGAGCAGGCACAGGGCCTCCTGTTGCAGGCAGAAGTGTCTATGAGGCTAGGGAGGGGGCTTCCTTCCCCTGAAAGGATGCTCAGGAGCTGAGTAAACCAAGGCCAAGCCCTGTAGTAGACAAAGTTGAGAATGGAGGCAGGGCTTGGACAGTTCAGGCTGGGGTGAACTGCGGGAACCTCTCCTTGGTTTGGCCACCAGGGAGACCATGGAGGTGACCCTCTTGCCCTTTCCCTTCATCTCATTCCTGGTGTGGATCATTGTTTTCCTCCCCCCATCCCTTATCCAAGGCTCCCCCAAACAGGGAGAGTGCTTGCTTGTAAAATTGGCTCAATTCAGGCCATGAGGGTTTAGGTGGGTCGAAGTGAGCTCTGTGCAACGGTCCTACAACTAAAGGTCACCGTGACCTGCCACCTGCC